GGTCTGTCGCTTCCTCTCGCTGTCTGCAAACAGCCCGGGCCTGGGGTCCCGCCATTCGGACCCTGCCTGCGACGCACAGGATCCTCAAGCTTTCCTGGACATCTGCGGGGCTGACCCGCCTCTGCCCCAGTCCCTCTGGCGTCCTCTCCCCAACCTCGGAACTGCATCCCTCTGCCTTTTCTCTCCGCCGGCCTCGGAGACCCGGCGGCCGCCCCGTGTGCCTGGGTCAGGTCAGAAACCGCAAGGGACCCAGATGTCTCTCTCTGCTCATGCACCCTCGGGTCCGACCACTCCACGGCGCGCGCACCCAGTGCCAGGGAGGGTTGCGGACTGAACAAAATTTGAGGTCTCAGGAGCCGCGGGCTAGAAGGGAAGGTGGAAAGACGCAGAGGGGGCAGCCTAGGCTAGGAGGTCTGCAGCTGGACTCCGGGGGTGGAGAACGATCGGGAGAAGCAGTGGCTTGCTCATTTGGATCTGCTAGTTGGCGGGCATGGTGGGGCCAGCCATGGGGCTGTGGCCTGACACGCATGGACACCCTGTGGGATCTGGGGTCCCTGCGATTGTTTGCGCGGAGGAGGGAGTCTGGTTACCGGTCCTCCAGCCATCCCGCCCCTCTGTTGGACCGAGAACGTCCTGGAACTTTCCTTCATGTGTAGAGCCCTTCCCTCCATACCACCCCTGTGTGACTTAAGGTGATGAGGGCCAGAACCCAGGTGCCCAAAGTCAGACATGGGAACTGTTGCTCGACAACACAACGCGTCTCAGGGTCAGGTGGGATGCACTGGAGTCTCTGGCAGCACTAATACCCGATCGTAAGCTGGCATTGGCTCCCCATAAAGTAAAGGAAAGGCCCAGATTTCTGAAGAAATGGATTGTAGACGGAAGTAACCGCCTTCAGGGCAGGGAGACCCACCTGAGCTACTTCGCCAGATCGTGCGGTTCTCTCCTTGCCTCCTGACTGGTCCTAAACCTGCCTCACTTTCCCCCTGCCCTGGCCCAAGCAGCCTCCAGAAGCGTTCAGAGGTGGAGTATATGTATCTGGGGAAAGACAGGAGAAGAGGTGTCGCTAATGACTGTGGGTAGGGGTGGGGTGTGGATGTCGGACTCCAGCCCCCCCCCCCCCCAGCAAAGCGGGTGGGGGACAGAAGCATACAGCACGGGTGACTTGACACTTCCATCTCCAGATGAGTCAGGGTCCGGCCATTTCATCCTTCGGGCAACTCCGCATGTGTATGGGCTTGCTTACACCTGAAGCCTGGGCTCAGGAAAGCACCAAGGTCCCCAAGATCACAAGGCAGGTATTGGGGTAGGGGTTAGAACCTGCTGGGGAAGATGGCACTGGAGGGTGGGCTTGTCTAAGCAGGTCTTTAGCTGGACTCTGGATGCATAACCCCCTCCTTTGCTCCTCCCTCCCACAGTCGAGATGGCCTGAGGGGCAATTTTCCCGTGAACATGTAATTCTAGTGAATAAGAAAATTGCTCTTTTAAAAACGGTTCTTGCAGAATCAAATTCTACGAGGCTGGCACAGCTCTAGGGCCCATTTTGTTCTTTGTAGCTCCTAGGCTGGTCGGGAGTTGCAGCGTTTGCATAGATGGCAAGGACTGGTGGCCTGCTAAGCCACTCCTGGGCTCTGGGCAGCAGTGAGGAGGGATGGGACAGAGAGAAACCTCAGAAGCCCAGAGAAAAAGAGAGCTAGACTTAAGGTCAGAATGCGTTCAAGAGCCGCTACCCCAAGTCAGAGCCTGTTAGAGATCTCCGGAATCTCTCAGCCCTTTCCCCAGTAGCGGAGAGCTCATCTTCAGGGGTTGGTCTATCACCCACATCCAGCCCTTTTCAGGTCCTTTGCTTAGTCTTTTGGGGAGAGGTGACCCACGGGCTTCTGCAGCAGGTCTATGTGTGTTGGCCATGTGAAATAACATTTCGTGACTCCTGGCTGAACCATGGTCCTTTACAGGACAGTTCTCTACAGGAGTCCATGGGACCCATTGGTGAGCATCACTTTAGACATATCATATAGATACTTCCTGAGACCAGCCCCTGTGAGCCAATCAGCAGTTCCAACTAGGGACTCCAAGGAAGCTCCTGTCCGAATGTCTTGGTTTCCCGCCAAAGCTATGTGTGATATGGGGCCCAGCTAAAACCATTCTTGTCCCCAATCCAGGGACACTCTTCTAGACCAGGGGTTCAATGCCAACAGAAGAACTCCATCATTTACTTAGCTACAGCCATCTCGCACCTAACATTGTCTTTTAAAGCTATTTATTTATATGTATATGGGTATTTTGCCTTCATATATGTTTATGTACCATATACATGCAGTGCTATGTGTGCAGAGACCAGAAGAGGACCTCAGATCTCCGGGACTGGGATTATAGATGGCTGTAAACTGTCATGTGGGTGCTGGGAATTGAACCTGGGCTCCTCTGAAAGAGCAGCCAGTACTCTCAAACACTAAGCCATCTCTCCAGTCTTTCTCCTTTCTTAATACCAGGTCTCATATATCACGACTGGCCTCAAACTTAGTATCTAATCAGGACAGGAATGGCCTTGAGCTTCTAATCCTCTGCCTTGATCCCTTTCAAGTGCTGGACTCACAAACCTGTGCTAGCACATCTGGTTTATGCATTGCTAGGAACTGAACCCAGGTGATTGTGCATGCTAGGCAATCACTCTCCATTCCCAGCCCTACCCTTGGCCTTTGTTATTAAATAAAGTTTGTCGTGTACCTCTTGCCTTAGCTTTGTTGATGGAATAGTATCGTCGTAGTCACTGTCTGTGGTGTTTCCATGTGGTGTCCCTACTGATATTCTTTGGGATATTCTGCGGCTCTGTGATGACGCTGCTGTATTGTGACTTAATCCTACTGGAGACATGATTAACCATGAAGTCTCATCCTTCCCTCTTGTCCTGTGGCCCCTGCTTGACCTTCCTGTTGCTTTCATGTATGCGTCTTCTCAGTATCCCTCAGTGTCTTCTATTTCACCAATTCTCTCCTCAACACTATCTACATTAAAATTAGTCTTTTTTTGAAGTTGCTGTTTATTTAAATGACTGTATTTTTCGTATTTTAAAGATTTGTTTCATTTCAAATTATGTGTATCTGTGTGGGGGTTGTGTGCATGTCAGTGCAGATTACCAGAGGCCAGAGGTATCAGATCCCCCTGGAGCTGGAGTTACAAGCAGTTGTGAGCTGCCCAGCATAAATGCAGGAATCAAATCTGGGTCCTCTGCAAGAACAGCCTCGGCTCTTAACAGATGGGTCGCCTTTACTGGCACGAAATGGCTGTGTTTTTCATGTCCAAGTTCTGTGGCTTCCAAGTAGGGGACCTGCTCCATTTACTCATTATTCCTTATAATGTTTTATCCATACTGCACTCAAAGATCTTACACTTAACTGAAACATGTTCCGGGCATACTAGTTAAATCATTAAATCATCTTATTTTATTTTAGCTTTTCCAGGTGAATCCACTGCTGGTCCCCTCTGTCTTGGTCTTCCAGGTCATATTCCTTAGCATCTTTGAGCCTTGAGAACTTGGGACTTTGGTGAGTTGGCCTGTGGGGAGGAACATTTTTATTTCCTTGTTGCTGCTGCGGTTCTCTCTTGGATCCCCACACCCCGGTCTGCCTTTCCTTATTCTTCAGATTGCAGTTGCCTCTGCTAGGTCCTGCACCCCTGGACTAGGTTCTTCCCTGACAGTTGTGAAAGTGTCCCATGTCTGCTCTGGCCTAGGCCACTATAGATCAGCTGAGCAGACCCAGGTCTCTGAGGACAGCATAGCTAGTGGACAGCCTGGCTCAGGCCGAGGGCTCCTGCCTTGCTATGGCCTGTCCCTGGCCTGTGTCCTCCTAGTACTTCAACCATGGGCACCAGTCCTGCCCATCTTCTTCTTGCCCAGCAACGGAGATGTTTATTTCTTCTTGGGCATCTTGCTTTTATGAAAAACTTCAAACACAAACACAAATGCATCTGCCACTCATCTGTCAGGCACTGTCCGCCCACACCTGCCTCTCCGCTTTCTCCACAAAGCCCATGCACTGCCTCTGTGTCCTCCCTCTGCTTTCCGGGCCTTAGTTCGCCTGGCTCTGCCATGTGCTGGGCTGTTGACCCCCTCCTGTGCTGTGCCCGCAGCCTGGTGTGTTCCTGTTGGCTGAGCTGTTATGTCTGTTCTGTGTGTTTGTCCTCTCTGCACTAGGCACCTTTCCATCCCATAGCGAGCACTAAGCCTGGACTTAAGGATATCTGTTCTGCCATTGCTAAGCAAGAGACAGACCTTTGCCCTGGGCAGGCAGTACCTTCAGCCTGGTGTCCTCGGGGGCGAGAAGCGGGCCAGCCACTGTATAGTACAGGGACTTCTGGAGTCACCGCTGCTGCAGAGTCTCAGGCCCTGCTGGGGCTTTAAACCGGCCTACTGGGGACAGCATTCCTAAGATCCCCTGTCGGGGGAGAGTCCCACCCCAGAGAGAATCCAACCTTGTACTTACTGGCAGAGCAGGCCTAGGATGCCATATGTGTTGGGTACGACTGGCTTACGGCAGCCATGGCATCTCAGCCTCCCCATCCTTTTCTATCAGCCACTTCTCCTCATAGTTTGGGGACCCCTGGGAGGTGATACCCACTGAGTTTATGTCACCTTCCTGAAATACTGCCCTCCAGGGCTCTGAGAGGTTTTGGAGAGAGGGTGCTGGACATCAGACCAAGCCAGGGGAGTCATGGGTTGCGTGCGCATCCTAGGCCAGTCACTGTAGTATAAGTATTGACAGGTAACGCCCACCTTGGCTCGTGGAGCCACCCATCCTCTCGTGGCTTCTTCTTTCTCTCCAGCTTGTTTTCCAAACAATTTGCTTAATGCGATTCCCGGCCAAGTCGAGCATGATTAATGGTGTTTACCCACTACGGTCGGGCAGGCGGACTGGGGGTGGCTGGAAGAAGGAATGCCCGAATGTGTCCACTCACGACACTCTCTTCTCTTGCAGAGACACACGTAGGCTGGTACCTAGCCTGAAGCCGGCAGCATGGAGCCCCTCTTTCAAGCTTCTACACCCAGCTGGAATGCCTCAGCTGCTTCCAGTGGTAACCACAACTGGTCACTGGTGAGCCCAGTGTCATCGATAGGAGCCCAGGCAGTACTAGTGCCCGTTCTCTACCTGCTGGTGTGCACGGTGGGGCTGGGTGGAAATACACTGGTCATCTATGTGGTGCTGCGGCATGCCAAGATGAAGACGGTTACTAATGTGTACATACTGAACCTGGCTGTAGCTGATGTCTTGTTTATGTTGGGGCTTCCCTTCCTGGCTACGCAGAATGCCGTCTCCTACTGGCCTTTCGGCCCCTTCCTGTGCCGCCTGGTCATGACGCTGGATGGCATCAACCAGTTCACCAGTATCTTCTGCCTGATGGTCATGAGTGTCGATCGCTACCTGGCTGTGGTCCACCCTCTCCGCTCAGCTCGGTGGCGTCGCCCACGGGTAGCCAAGCTGGCCAGTGCTGCTGTCTGGGTCTTCTCACTGCTCATGTCTCTGCCACTCTTGGTCTTCGCCGACATCCAGGAGGGCTGGGGCACCTGCAACCTGAGCTGGCCGGAGCCTGTGCAACTGTGGCGTGCAGCCTTCATCACCTACACGTCTGTGCTGGGCTTCTTTGGGCCCCTGCTGGTCATCTGTTTGTGCTACCTGCTCATCGTGGTGAAGGTGAAGGCGGCAGGTGTGCGCGTGGGCTCCTCCCGGCGACGGCGCTCAGAGCGTAAGGTGACTCGCATGGTGGTGGTGGTGGTGCTGGTGTTCGTGGGCTGCTGGCTGCCTTTCTTCATCATCAACATCGTCAACCTGGCCTTCACGCTGCCAGAGGAACCCACCTCTGCCGGCCTCTACTTCTTTGTGGTGGTCCTGTCTTATGCCAACAGCTGTGCCAACCCCCTGCTCTATGGTTTTCTCTCCGATAACTTCCGCCAGAGCTTCCGGAAGGTTCTGTGTCTCCGTAGAGGATATGGTATGGAGGATGCAGATGCCATAGAGCCGCGGCCAGAGAAGAGTGGGCGGCCGCAGGCCACACTGCCCACACGCAGCGGCGAGGCCAATGGGCTCATGCAAACCAGCAGGCTTTGAGTGCCCCAGCAGCACCCAGGTCCGGCTAGGCCTCTCTGAAGTTGTCTTCTGGGATGTGAGGGGGCTGAGATGCTCTTATCCCCAGGTCTGCAAGTTGGATTCTTCTTGGTAGCAGTGTGAAGACAGCTGCCTGGGGCTAAGCCATGGGTAGTCAGCACAGCTGGTGTTCTGTGGTGACTGACCCTCGCTTTCACCAAAATGTTCTGCCAGGCCAGGGTCTGAGAGTTTGGAGGTCCTGAGATGGTCTTGGCAGGGAGAAAGGGCTGGATTTGCCCTCTGGAAATATTCAGGCACCTTCACCTCCAGTGTGGCACGATTGTCAGCCTCTCAGGCCAAGAAGCAGCTTTCCGGGAGGAAGCCCGGAGACGCTCGTGCAAACTGTTGGTTCATGCCAGAGACTGCCCTCCCTGAAGCCATGCTGGTCAGCTGGCCCTCAGCCTCTGCTCCATCCACCTTCTGGCCAGCATGGAAGCCAATTGAAAGGTACCCATGTGTGCTGGGCCCCCAGCCTCCGCTTACAGAGCTTCTAGGCCTCTGCAATCTTGCAGCTGCATGCACTTTGAGGACAGTTGAAGCAAAGCTGCACTGATCCGGGGACAGAGGAAGTAAAACCCTAGGGCACTACTCTGGCCTTTCTGCCATTTCTCCAGCATGAGGAAAGTGAGGCCTGTGCAGGGCAGACACATGGTGAAGATCAGGAAGAGGAACAGACTCACCAGGACTCGGTCTATTCAGAGTGGCCCAGAAAGGGTGGCCCCAGGAAAAGACTCTGCAGAGGCTTCCTTGAGGCTCAGAGACTGAGGACTTCACAATGATCTTTCTCCTTAAGGCAAAATGCTGGGGCTCTCTCTGTTCTTGGAGAGGGGGTAGGGTGAGCAGGTAGCAGGCAGGAACTGTTCCCAGTGCAAACAGCACAGTCTGGAAAGCCCTACCGTGTGAGATAGTGCAAATGCCAGGGCCAAAGAGGGCCAAGTCCCTGGGGAACCTGTGATCCCCCTCAGCCCCCTCCAGCAGCTTCTCCACTCAGACCCAGAATGTGCTCAAAGAACCCCCGGGGTCCCCAGGGCGCCCTTGGGCCTTTCTGAAGCTGGAGAAAGAAGTAATCGTATTATTTCCCTGCTCTGGGCAGCCCTGCCTGGCAGTGCTTGGCTCCCTAGGAGGGTGCAGAGGCCAGGCCAGCAAGACTGGCCAGAGAAAGACTGTGGGGGTGCTAGGTCACATCTGAGAACGTGACCCCTCCCTAGACAGATGCTGAGCCTGGAAGCTCATCCTTCATAATGAGGGCTCTTGTGTCTTACAGCCTGCCCCAAATAAATGAGAAAATAAAGTGTTTAATTCCTTCCCAAAGCAAATATTGTCCATGGAGCCAAGTGAAGTCAGTTCAAAGCAGAGAACTCCACGGCTGTAATGTCATCTGCTCCCAGAGACCTGACCTCTGGCAAGGAAGGGCAGGGACATTTCCATTTGCTGGTCCTGGACCCAGTTCTCAGGAACTGGTGGCAAAACCCACCCCACCCATCAATGTCAGCATCCCAAAGAGGGGTGTTTCCAGAGGAAACTGAGGCCACTTTACCCCCTAGCCTCTGCCCACCATTGGGCCTTCTCTTAGGATTGGGTTGCAAAGGGCAACCATACCAAATGGCCCAGGAGAGTGAGCAGAAGGCTCAGGTCTCTGCCGACAGTTTTAATAAAGGGGGTTCCTGACCGGACAAAAGTGCTCTTAAAGGTACAGACATGGCAGGTAGCCAGCACCCTCTTGCAGGGAGCGAGGCACAAACACGCCCCATGGACTTGGACATAGAAATGAATGGAGGGTGCTTCTTAGACTATCCTTGGTTCTAGAAGCTTCCCCTACACCTCTGGGCACCCTGTTCCTTTTCTCGCCAGCCTGAAGCCCCATATAGCAGTAGCAGTATCCAGGCCCAGCATCAGGGAGCCTATTCCCTTTAACTCCAATCCATCCAGGCTCACACCCCAACAGGGCTGCAGTCTGGCCGTACTGCACTCTTGTGACCTTTAGCCATTCCACCGGCCACGTGATGGTCAAATGCATACCGTCCCTGCCCCCAGATCCAAATTACTGGTATACAATGCCGCTTTCCAGTCCAGATGGTGGATCTGGCCGTACTGACCCCACGGCAGGCATCAGTCAGTTCCTCTGCTTCCCTAAGCTAGGCTGGAAGAGTGTTCTGACAGAGGGAACCAAGTGTGTGAAGCCTCAGAGGAGCACAGGCAAATGCACCCTCCTGTCAGGGACACGTTGGGCAGGAAAGAGAATAGGTGCAGTCCCCAACTCTGCCTCAAAGGTCTCATCATGGGTCACCAGCAAGTAGGATGAGAGATGTCAACCAGGGAGGGGAGAGCTAGGGTGTGGATAGTGCGCAGGTGCTGGGCTACCAGGAATGGAGTAGGAGGTGGGCTGAGCAAGATGGGGGACTGAGATGAGGCTCCCAAGGTGCTGAGAGGCTAACACAACCTCCCTGGCAAGAGCCGGGGAACCCCAGACTGGTTTCTGATTAGGGAACTCTGAGGGCGAGACCTGGGATTGAGAGCGGTGTGGACTATTCTGGGAGGTCCAAACTTAGCCGACATGGAGGGGCAGGGGAGACAAAGCCCTGGACACCCCAAATGCACCTATATTAAAGGCCTGATGGGTGTCCAGGAGAACCATGAGTCCTGGACAACATAAGTACTGGGATGTCCTCCACTGCAGTCCCAGAGAATTGCAGGGGTAACCCAAAGCAAACATCCTGGGGCCGCCGTGGCGGTCTGCTGATCTACTTTATGGCTCTGTCTGCATCAGTGGGTTTTATGGGACACTGGGTTCCAGCGACTGAGTGACCTTGCCCAGGAAATCTGGCCTGTGAGGCAGGGCTGAGGATGGGGAGGGGACAGGAGATGTCTGTTTGCCTGGCAGGGTGGGGTGCAGCCTGGACATGGTGGGGGCAGAGAGGCAGTCCCCTCAGTAGAGCCGTAGTTGAGCCACTCCTTTCGTCCCCTCACCCCTAGCAGCAGGAGTAATGTCAGGGATCCCGTGGCAGATTCTGAGAGTAAAGAATATTGTTCCCATCAGCCACCACTTTCAGGTGTCCTAAGGAAGGACAGATGGATAAGTAAAGATGGCAGGCTGCCACTGGCCCAGGTACTTAGGGACACCATTGCTTCCTACTAAGTAGGAGAAACTGAAGATAGCAAGAGAGAGCTTGGGTGGGGATGTTCATTCGGTCTCTCCCGCTTCTCACCCTTTAGGGCCCGCTTTCTGTGTTTCCTGGGATCCTGTCCTCTGTCATGGGGAACGGGGCCTCTCCATGCGAGTGGCAACAGGGAGGTTTGGTGGAAGGACACTTAGTGCTTACCTGGAAACAATGGGCGCACGTATAAGCCGTGACGGAGGGAGGGGCAGCATCATCAGATCAGAAGAGAATACAAGAGAGAGGCCCCATGCAGAAACAGCCAGGGACAGGGGCCTCTACCCTTCCTCCTTCCCGGCTCTCTCCATAGTCAGGCACCACTGAAAGCTGTGGATGGGTCCATCGCTATCCAGAGTGAGTGCCGGCCAGTGGGAAGGTTGAGAATGGGCAGGCGAGCTGGAGATACCTGTCCCTTCGCTCTGGTCACAGGAGAGGACACCTGTCCATCTCGCCCATTTCTCCTCCCTCCCATGAGGCCTGAAGGAGCTAATGGCAAGGCCTATTACCTCAGAAGTCTGTATCCTCACTTCTAACTCAGTCCTGAGTAGTTTGCACTAGGTCTCTTGGAACAAGTCGGGGTGCTCCTCCTGCCCACCCAGCTGTGCTCCCTCCCACGGCCCCCAGTGACATCATGTGCTTGGTGTGAGTGGACCACATTTTGCCAAGAGCCTTGTGTACATGCCGTCGTGCAGCATTTGTCCCATCATGGGTTTATCACACAGCATGATGTCCCCAAGGCTCATCTCTGGGTCCTGACAGGTGTCAGCACATCCTGGATAGTACTTTATTGCATCTGGGGCATGCTTCATGCTTGGCAGACATGTGGGTTGTGCCACCATTTGGGCTTGGTAATGTAGAAACCACATGTGGTTGCATAAACCTATAATCCCAGCACTTGGGTGATGGCAGCAGGAGGCTCGGGAGCCAGGAGCTCAAGGCCAGCCAGCCTCAGCTGTAGTGTGCTCGAGGCCAGTCTGGGTTACACAAGGCCTTGTCTCTGTCTGTCTGTCTGACTATCTATCTATCTATCTATCTATCTATCTATCTATATTTCAGAAAATTAAACTCCAAGCCTTCTAGTCTGTTTATTCCTTCTCATCAATACTATTTCTGCAGAGTTAAAAAGTAGATCTTTTATGCAGTATTTGTTATAGCATTGCCCATAATAGACAGCAGCTAGAAACACCCTCATAGCAGCAGGTGAGTTCTCGCCATGTGCTGGAATATTACTTAGCCATAAAAACAAAAGAAGTTCTGATGCCTGTGACAACGAGACAGAAACCCAGAAATGTGATGGCCAAGCCAGGCATGGTGACTCAGCCTGTAACTCCGGCACATGGGAGAATGAGCCATCAGGACTGCATCTAGAACTAGGTGATTGGCAGCCCCTGATACAGGCTTTGGGAACAGAACTCAGGTCCTATGCGAGAACAACAAGCCCTCTTAACAACCCCAAGTCACCTCTCCAAACTCGAGAATCACAATTTTGAGACCAATCTCAGATACAGAAAGAGACTGTGTCTCAAAAAGGAAAGAAGGAAGGGGGAGGATGTGGAAATGGAGGGGATGCTCTGTGAGAGGCACATCAAGTACACCTGTGATTCCACTTGCTCAAGATGCCCAGGAGGGGCAGAACCACAAGGACAAGAGTAGAATCCATCGTTAGGGCACAGAAGGAGACTAGGTGGCCACCCATAAGCACAGATTCCTTGAGGAGCTGAATGGAGGTGGAGGCTCCCCAAGCTGTGTTAAATGTTACTTGACTGTTTGCCACCAACTAGTAAGTTTAATGTTGTGTGAGTTCAGCTA